CCCTTTCCTTTACCACCTGGCATTCTGATTGCATTAGTAAGATGGGTTTCATTCGGCACCCTACCTAAAATGCTGGTTAAACCTGTCCTGTAGGAAGCTCTGCATTACATAAAGGCAGCCGGGGCCATGTGAAAATGCCACCTCTTAATTGCCACCCTATCAGGTTAATTAGCAGCAGTCTGGAAAAAGACCTCTTCTTTACTTTTTATGCTTACCTTCCCGATTCTAGTGCAACGCGTACCTGTATCTGGGGCACGGGATGAAGCGGAGCTCTCACAGGGCTTGGAGAGCAGGGAAATCACGGCTAAAAAGCTCCAAGCTAAAACAGACCCCGCAGACAAAGCGTGGAAGAAAGCTTTGTTCTCCCCGTTTTCATGGATGGGGAGCAGTGGCTGCAACTCCTGTGGGTCGAGCAGAAAATCCATGACCAAACCCAGCTAGGCGAGACCATCCCCACTCTTTAAAAATACCCCGTTTGGGCACGGATCTGGCATCTGGCATTTTATTTGGCTTGCAAACGGCGGGTCTGGTTCCCCCAAGGAGCCCCCCCGCCTCGATAAAGAGACATGAAAATGTGAGGAAGTACAGATCTGAAATTAGCTCGATATTCACGTGTTCCTTAATTACTGACGAGCCTCTCGCCTCCCAAGGGCAGTTTTTGCAGAGGCAGCTGGGGGTTCCCAGCTGCTTTGCCACCCAGATGGAAGAACCAACCCTGCCCACCGCCCGCCATCCCCGGGGCCACCAGCCCTTCCCTGGGGACCGCTACTGGGACCAGTTATTTGCTAGGAGGAGAAACCAGAGCTTGCCCCTTCTATGCCCCGCAGTGAAAAATGTAGACAAAAAAAACACAACTGCCCCCCAAAAGCAAATATTTTAGCGTTAGCGGTGGGACCCGATGATCGGAAAGGTCTTTTCCAACCCAAACAATTCTATGATTCTATTTTCAGCACGCACACAGTCATGATGCTGAGCATTTCTGCTCTTATTAAGATGCAGCCTTAATGGTTTTAAAATAAACAGATTTTAGTCCCTTTAGGTTAAAAGGGTCTAGCAAAATTTCCCCCTTACACTTCAAAATGTATAAAAATGGATTAAGATAAGAAAAAAGAGGTATCTTTGAGTGACTCAGAAGCAGAATTCTCACTTGCTGAGAAATCGAGCTTCAATTTGGCATTGGAACAATCTTCCCCCTTCTGCCACCACAGAAGTTTGTTTATTTTTACCATATTCACCAGTCCCACACCACTAAAAGCCTGCTCACCCAAGCAAAAGTTTGCTCACCCCTGCATGGGCTGGGTACAGAGCCAACAGCCTTGGGTTGTTGTCCAAGTCCCCCGAGCTCTGACCCTTCCTGGGGGCTCCTCGGCCACTCAAGACCGCGCGGATGAGATTTATAACCCCTCGCGTAGCAAACCTCACGCTGCCCAGGAACGAGGAGGAATTAAGCAGAGGCCGGCTCCAGCTGCCAGCAATCCTCACGCTGTTTGAGGACACGCTATTATAAGATCTTTTTTTAAGATAGGCGTGATGCTATGCAGCGTTTCCAATAGACTTTGTGTGGTTTTCCTCTCTTCTTGGAGCTTCCTTCCTCCTCTTAGTGCTGGCAGGTTCGGAGGTTTCGTGACGTAAATTGTGCCTTTTGAAGGTGGGTGCTTCAAGAACTTCCATCTCGTGTGTTTAAACAGGGGAAGATTGGTTAATCATGCTGGTGCATTCAGTGAATTTTCTTCGCTGAGAGCCGATGATTTGGAAGAAGTCAGCACCAGAAGTACCTTGCGCTGAAAGGAAAATTGCATTCATCGAACACGATGCTGAACTGGATGGGTCCCCAAGCGCGTTTCACAAAGCAGCTGTGTCTCAGACACGATCTGACGGACTGGCATTCACACAGACGTGAGGATACGGGGCCCTGAAATCTTGACGGGTCATCTCGAAACTTGTCGTGGATAGCCCCACGCATCTATGCTTTGATATAACCCTGGTGGTTAACTCCTGCTTTAAGCGCTAGAGCTGGTACCTCTTGGAAAGAAACTCAAGGAACGGTGCCTGTTCCACGCATCTGGGTTGTCCCGCAGCGTGCACCGGTGCGATCTCCCCTCCTCAGCTCGAGGGAAAGGCTCTGCAGTGTTGGACACAGCAAGATCAAGACAACCAAGGCCCATAAAGCTCTGTCAGACTCTGGTCCGACGGTGCTAACAGGCTACTTTTCCGTGGCCTCTACTTTCCAGGATACACTTTTGTGCTCGTGGGTAATTACAAGCACAGAAGTCAGCATAAATATTGCCGTTCACAAAATTGCAATTGCAAATCACATAGCTTGGCACGTAGCAGCCTTTGCACCGACAGTTAATTCCGAGGCTCAAGGAGAAGAACACCACTATGCCTGGGCGGAATGGAAGTAACTCATGAGAAACCATCATCGCCGTGAGGCTCCCAATACAGAAAGGAAAATTTTCTTCTCTGTCACTGGTGAGTTCAGAGGAGGGCAACAAAGATGATGGGGGGACTGGATCATCTCCCCTACGAGGAAAGGCTGAGGGAGCTGGGCTTGTTCAGCCTGGAGAAGAGAAGGCTGAGAGGGGATCTCATCAACACCTACAAATATCTCAAGGGTGGGGGTCACGAGGACGGAGCCAGACTCTTCTCAGAGGTGCCCAGCGCCAGGACAAGGGGCCACAGGCACAAACTGAAGCAGAAGAGGTTCCAGTTGAACGGGAGGAAGAACTTGTTGACTTTGAGGGTGCCCGAGCCCTGGCCCATGCTGCCCAGGGGGCCTGTGGGGTCTCCTTCTCTGGAGATATTCAAAGCCCACCTGGACGTTGTCCTGTGCCCCCTGCTCTGGGTGAGCCTGCTTGAGCAGGGGGGTGGCACTGGGTGAGCTCCTGAGGTCCCTTCCAACCCCTGCCATTCTGGGATTCTGTGTGATTCTGTGACCTGGGATTACTAAAACCAAACACATTTTATTATCTGCGCTGCGTGTGCATCACTCTCGATTTGGAAGTGAGAGCAGAGTGGCGACTCCCATTTTACTTAGTTTCTCGGTAGTTTCACTGGGAGGTGTATAATTTTGTGCTGCCATGTGTGAGCATGACAGACAAACATGTAACAAAAGACCCTTCTGTTTAAAAGCCTTATATTTGCAGAAATGAAACCAAGTAATTTCTCTGCACTTACACCCTGCTAATTTCACTGTTCGGGTACTGACGTAATTCTTTTTCTTATGCTTTCTAAAAAAGACCCGCTTGCCAAACCAGACTTTGGTTAAAACTGGACTCACAACCCACTATAAACAAAAAAAACCTCCCAATTTATTACTTTGCAACATGGTCCTGCTGTTGCAACCACCCTTTTGCTAGAAGGTATCTGGTAAGAAGAGCTTTTTGCAAAGTTGGCTGACCACTAGCACACACAGAGCACAGCAGCTGAAGGAATTGCTTGTTGCAAATCTTAGTCTGCTATGATTTTTTTTTCCCCCCTTACAACCCATATTCTGCGCACGCTATTTCTCCTTGAGTTAAAATCCCACATTTCCTGGGACAAAATGAAATTCCCACGTCTCCTTGTACAAATGGAGAATCTTCTATTTGTCGCTGTTATTTCAATCTGAGCCAGATTTAAACCTTAGGTATACTGTACTTAATTGCAGTGACACCATAAATATAAAGATTTATTCCTGGTTTTATTCCTTCTATAACTAACACTGGAATGCAGCCAAACAGTCGTTAAGAATTAGCGCATAGAAACTCACGGAGGATTAATGCAGAGAACAAACAAACAAGCCCAGCAGTATTTGGAGAAGGAAACCCTGTTCCTTGACTAGCACCTTTTTAAACTGAAAGCCCAGAGAGACTGTAAAGTTTAGCTGCTTAAGAGTTAAAAACCCCAAACATTGGTAACAGTCGGGCTTTTGGCTTCTGCTAACAAACAAAAATCCAAACTCGAGGTGAAATGAGAAAGGCTGCCTTGAAGGGCACCCACAAAACTTAGGATGCTTTAACACAACATGAAAACTTACTTTGCTGTCTTCTTCTATTGAGAAGATTATTTTTTTTCACCTCAAGCACGGAGCTTCCTCGCAATTCTATAGCAACCTCGTGGTATCAAGCCAGGGAACAAGCCCAGCCGTCGCGGCATCAGCATGGCTAATATTTGTACAGCACCAAAGAGCAAATGCTACAAGGGTTAAAAACCGCTGGCACGCCAGCAGTGAAACACAGAGAAAGGCATCTCCTTCTCCCTTACAATAACTAAACTGACAGTAATTTTGCTGCAATGAAGGAGCATGTCCTGAGGGCAAGAAAGGTGCATTGCACACCAAGAGATCTTGAAAAGGGAGAGTTCAGCTGCAGCTGAAGCATCTGAAGCCATGTGGAATGTGTGCTCCAGACTCCCTTTCTCCCACTGGACAATAAAGGCAGCTTCAGGAAATTTTTTCGTATTAACATCTGCATCTTGACAATGTTTTACAAACCACGTTAAGCAACTCAACTGAGCTAAGACGATTATAAAAATGTACCCCTTTTATTCAGCAGAGCAGGCCAATGGGATGTTTTAGATTCACACCGATGAAATGCAGCCCAAAGTCAAAGGAACAGCTCATGGATATGAATTCTGGTCAGCTACTCTGCATTACACCATGATAACTGGGCGGCTTTCAGGGTTGTGCTGTCAATTTGCTGTGGTCAAAGCAGCATCAGAACCAGGCTGGAGGATGGTGAATGCTTCTTCCCATTCCACCACTTTACCTCCAAGCTCACCCATCTCTTCTGACAGCACTTAGCTACCAAAATCCATCCCGAAGGGTTAAGCTCTCATAGACAGCTGCCGGTGGTAGTGCCGAGTTCCAGCATTCCTTACTTCCAGGTTTACAAATAGAAACAAGCTCTAACGTAGTTATAAACCTGAAGTGCAGATTTTCAATGTACAAATGCCAGTACTAATGCGTCTCACCAGCTAAGCTTTTAAGATCATTTTGGTCTCCTAATTTCACAGAAAACCTTGCTCGATCCAAGACAACTTTTTGAATTCCAGATGCTCCACTGAAGGTACCGTGAATGTTGCCTGGGGACCAAAGGTTTAGATATGGTTAATAAAGGCACAGCTCCTTTAGCTTTGTTGCAAAGTTACAATTGCTTGACAGCAGTTAACTACTAGGGGTTTTTTTATTTCATTCTTTAGTACTGACACTGAGGCGTAAACCTTTAATTGGACTAAGTATTTTGCGAAGAAACAACCATCATTTTACATGTAAAAGGAGATCAATGAAAAAAATTAGACACGACTGCAAAAAATCAATGGAAAAATACATACAGCTTTGCAAAACCCCTCCTGTTCCCAGGAGCAGCGCTGGGCTATCACAACAGTGGCTTTAATAATAAAGGCAGTGCTAGGGTGACTTTTTTTTTTTCCCTGGATTGAGAAAAACACAGTCTGTGTTCACTGGCTTTCACAGTCTTAACCACAGCAGTTAAACCCAGGCCTGATTTTGCTTGCTGTTATCTGACTTGAACAGAGTTGCAGCGGGGTGAACCTGTGCTGAAGGCAGCGTGGTGAACCTGTGCTGAAGGCAGCGTGGGGTCTGCTGTGTTAAAACACAGCTCCTAGTTAAAACAAGCCACTAAGGTGAACCGTCTGCCATACTGGAAGAGGCAAAGCCTGTTTTTTAATCAAGTCTGGCTTTGCAGACATGCAAACCTACACAGGGAGACCTTATTACCATGGCACTGAAGCTCATGTTGGCCTGCCACCATGTTCTCTCTTGGAAGAATGTTAGGGTAACGGTTGGACTTGGTCATCTTAAAGGTCTTTTCCAACCTAAACGGTTCTGATTCTAAGAGCCATATTTAAACACAGCCTGTGGTTTCAGTTGGAGGTAGAGCAGTGTGCTCAAGACTGGGTTACAGAGTGATGCCTGGCTGGGGTGTTTACACAGACATGCTAAAATTCCAGTCCCCTCAGAGTCCCAGCTTGACTCTTAAATGGTTAAATGTGCTTGCAGTGCTTCTTTTTCTTTCTCTGCGCTCCTTCGATACACTCCTCTGTCTCCTCTTCTTGCCTTTTGTGTTTCTTCTTATGGCGTTTCTTTTGCTTTGCCTCATAGTCCTTTACGCTGAGATCTTCCCCATCAGATAAACCCGTACAAATTTCTCCACTGACCATATTTTCATCACAACTAATCCTTTCCCCTTCATGCTGCTCTTTATGTTTCCTTTTCTTTTTCCTTGAGTGACACTCATTTAACGGAGCATCCAGTTCTTTTCCATTCAAGCTACCTATCTTAGGCTGTTTCACTTCTGGTTTCTCGCAATACTCTGTACCCTCCGCCTCATCTCTCTTCTGCTTCTTCTTTTTCTTTTTGACCTTGGTTTTCAGTTCTTCTGAAGGCTCCAAAGCTTCGTCAGCTGTTGGGCAGGAATGGTCTGCCTTTGTTTCTATTTCATTCTGGGATCCCTTCAGTTTTGCCATGCGCTTGGCGAAATATTCCTGTACAGTGAGGCCACTCTTCACTGTATTGTAGCCGTCTGCAGGCTCAGATAGCCAGCGATTCCTCTTCTTCTCTTCCTGAGACTCGGGATCGGTAACATCCTCCTGCAGGTGAACAAAGAGGAG